CGCCTCCAGGACAAGCCAATAGGAGCTGCCAAGCGATCCTCCCTCGCTCCGCCTTCATACTCTTCCTGCGTCCGACCGCCAAACCCTGGCTGTACCTGCTCCTCCATTCCATTCCTATCAATCTGGCGATGCTAAGCCTCAACCACAGTCAACCCGTACAGTACGGCTGCGCAAGGGCCTTGGAAAGCCACGTGGACCTCCTCCGAGTGGGGATGGGCCGAAGGGATTGGTCGAAGGGTAACCTGGGAAAATTGCTCATCCGTAACATCGGCGGTGGACAAGCCTCCCTTTAGTAAACCACCCTTTAGTGAAAACGGCCTAGGACCGAAACCGACGGACCTGGACCCGCAAAATTACGGCCGCGACGCCCTCTCGCGAGCCGAGGACGGCCAATTCGCTGATCGACGCGTCCGGGTAGGAGGTCCGTCCACCTCCGATGACGGCTGGGTTGGCCGCATCTGCTTCCAAGCGGGAGGCCCGGGCCCTCGGCGTCGTGACCTTCTTGCGAGGCGGGGACTTGTCCATCTCCACCGCCTGGGAACAGACGTCCTGGTGCCCCAGCGGGCGGTGGACATGGAGACACTTCGGCCCCCTGGGGGCCCGAAGATGTCCACATCCACCACCTGCCGAGGCTCCGAAACCTGACCCTCCAGGCGGGGGCCGTGTACAAGTTCCCGCCTCGGACTTCTGCTCCCGTGGACGCCCAGAGGACCCTCTCTGTGGGGGTCACGGGGGCTCCGGCGGAGGCCCGGGCCGCGGAGGTCGGGACCCCCTCCCAGGGACGGGCACCTCGCCCCGAGCCGCTCGGCAGCCAACACATCCACCGTACAATCGGGGCGTTGACCTGAGGAGCCCTAAAATTGAAGGGGCCTTGGGACACACAAATAAAGAGACACAAATAACAGGATTCCCCATATTTGTTCCCATATTTTCTGGGTTTTTGTTTCCCCCCCCCCACACTTCCCATAGTTTCCCATATTTTCAGGGGGAATCGACGATTAATTGTGTCGGTGTGTTTTTGTTCCCTCCTGATCAATGAGGAACGAGGCCCCTTTCTTCCATGAGTAAAACTTCGACTTCCCATCAAAAACCTAAGGAAAACCTTAGGAAACCTGTGGAACAATCAAGGAACACGGAGCCCCTCCCCAAACGAAAAGGATCCCTTCTTCAGCGCCCCGACCGTGCATCGTAAGGATGTGCGGCAAGCATGCAAGAGGCCGTGGAAAGCCATGCTGACGTTTCTCCGAACGGGGCTGGCAAGCGAGAGGTGCCAGGCACGGGCCGAAGGGACAAGGGAGCAGGGGTTCAACTTGAAGAGAGTTGCTGCGTGTTGACGGCCCCGGGATAGTTAAGGAGCAGGGAAACGGCCAGCGCTGGGCTCAGAGGGTGTAACGTGAATGCCGACGCTGACCAGACAATTCCTCTGATCCCGATCAGCGGCCGAAAATGGCAACCAGAAGCCTCTCTCAGTGAGTTACTGGGCCGGATGCGCTGGGTGGGTCCTGTGGGGGCCTGGGCCACTCCGACCGCGGTGGGCACGCTCGTAGTGGACACCGACAAGATGGGCAGAATGCCCGACAGCAGGTGCTCAGAGCATCCGCTGTTGGGCAGGCGACGCTGTTGCCCAGAACCGGCAGCGTCTGCTGATGCCCCAAGCGGACAGCGAACGGCCGCGCGCGCGTCCGAAAACGGCCCCCCTCCGCACCGACAGCGAGTCTGTTCAAAATGGGCAGGAACTGCTGCCGGTCTTGATCACCACAGCTTTCCGTGCTCGTCTCGGGGCACCAGACGAGACGCTCCGCCGCCTGCTGACCGGGGCCGCTCTTGCGCGCTCGGTCCCCCCTCCGCCCCGCTGGCGGCGGGGGTGCGGAGAAGGGAGGGAGGGCCAGAGGGAGCGGGGAGGACGAAGGAGGGGGACTGGCCCAGGGGCTTGGCGTGGGGGGAGCCGAAGAAGAAATGGCAACGAGCAGCCCCTGGGAGAGAGGGCATGCTTCGAAGAACGAACAGCTAAATGAACAGAAACTCTCGGAGGTCCGCGCGGAGCTCCGGAAGTTCATGCTTATACCATACGTTCCATCCTCGAAGGTCCCTGGCTGGGCTCGCTCCCTCATGTTCTGGGAGAGTTATTGGCGCTTCTGCGCTTTCGAGCCAAGATCGCCCCTGGACGGCCCAAAGGGCTCAAGACGGCCCACTAGGTCCGCATCGGGGCTCGGTCGTTGAGGCCCACCGCGGTCGGCAGCAAGGTGGCCCCCTCTGCCCAGATGTTCAGTGCATTGACACTTTTTCGGCAGAGGGTCCCCGAAGTGACTCTGGGGCCCCCTGTGCATACCTAAACGGGAGCTTGGGCTGTTCTATATGCCCCCGTTTACTGTGCCTCCGTCGACGGAGCCCAGGGCCTCCTACACGGCGGCACAGCGCAATGTGGAAATCGGCGTTCCCCGTGCCCCCATTTACAAGACAGAGGGTTCCCCCCCCCCAGGATGCAAGAACATCCAACAAGCGGGGATGGACAGAACTTCCTTTAGTAAAAGGCTCAGTGAAAACGACCTCGGGCCCAAACCTGAAGAGCGCAAGCTTGGAACATGGGCCGCGGCGCCCTCTCGAGAACCGAAAACGGACAGTTCACTAATCGACGTGTCAGGGTGGGGGTGTTCTGTCCACCCCCGAAACAAGCACGAAGAACATCTGGGCACCCTCTCTGCACCGACCTCGACCTCAGACCTCGGTCCGAAACCGTCCCCGTGACCTGCACGGTTTCCACCAGGGCCGTAGGCGACCCGAGGAGAAGGAGGAGAAGGAGGAGGAGGGGAAGAAGGAGATGGAGGAGGAGAAGGGGGAGGGGAAGGAGGAAATGGAGGAGGAGGAGGAGGCGGAGGAGGTGGAGGTGGAGGAGGGGGAGGAGGAGGAGGCGGAAGAGGAGGAGGAGGAGGAGGAGGGGGAAGGGGAGGAGGAGGAGCAGGACGAGGACGAGGAGGAGGAGAACGAGGAAGAGGAGGACGGGTCGCCTAAGACCCGGGCCCGAAACCCTCCACCGTGACCCCGCCTCCGGCGCCCCGAAGACCCTCCACCACGAATGGGCTGGCTCCTCGCCCCGAGAGCCGCCCCCTGCGGCGGCCCTGCGGCGCCCGGTAGGCCAGGCCCCGGAGGCCGCAGACGACGAAATACCCCCGTCTTGATTTTTCGGGGGCGCGCAGACGGTGACAACGGCGACGGCGACGGCGACGGCGACGACTGACGACGACGACGACGACGACGACGACGACGACGACGACGACGACGACGACGACGACAACGACGACGACGACGACGACGACGACGACGACGACGACGACGACTGACGACGACGACGACGACCGACGAACGACGACGACGACGACGACGACGAAGACCTGGCCCTGTCCGATCGAGGCCCCACGAAGGAGTCGGGGGCGCGCAAACATGGATTAGCGATCCATGGATTTGGCGCACGGTCGCCAAATCCATGGATCGGGGGAGGTGCCCTTCCCAAAAGGCGGCCGGTGCCGCCTCGCTCGGCGGCGGGCATCCACGATTTCCCACGGAAACGGGCCCCGTCGCTAATCCACGCTCCCTTGATCCCTTGATCCATGGTTGCGATCGCCTGAGAGACTCACCAGAGAAGAGAGAACCAACACCACCACCACCACCACCATCTTGGAGGGATGGCCGCTCCCCACGCACCCCGAGCTGATGGTGGCACCCGTTCCGGGCGTGCCCGGGACGGAGTGCCACCAGCTCGGTGAGGAGGCCTTCGGCAACGGAATTCTATCAGAGGGGAAAAAAATCCACCCCCATAATAACCACCCCGACACGCGAAGACGTTTAGTAAACGCCCCCACTGAAGGCATCGAACAGGGCAGGGCTGTTTAGTAAACGCCCAAGGCCGTTTAGTAAACGCCAATTGTCCGGTCTGGCTGGATTTCCCCCCTTGATCTATGGAGTTCCGGTGGTGATAGCTCTCGTTTTGCTCTCGTGAGAGGCGTTGGACACCTGGGTTCTGGGAGCCGAAGCTCTCCCGGTGTGCATGCTGACCCGAAGCTTGAGGCGAGTCCAGCCGTTACGGCGAGGAGTCCCCGGGAGGCCCCCAAAAAAGCCTCGCTCCTCGAAGTTCGAGGCTCGAAGTTCGAAGCGGCCAAGGGAGCTGCGTCGGAGGGGCCCTGGGAGAAGCTGAGGGGGCACTAAGGCAAATCCGCTCAAAACTGGTCCCTGGATCCCTCCTGGGTCGAAACGAGCGAGTTTCTGGAGTCGCGCCCAGCCGTGGCGACAAGAGGGTCAGTTTCCCCCCCCTCGTGCCTGTTGGCAGGCGCTAGTGCTAGTGCCAGGCCACCTCAGCGCCCAAGTCAGCTCCCAGCTCTACGGTTGGCGCTGGAAAGATACTCTGCCACAGTCATGTCCGACCAGCACGCGGTCCCTGTGAGGCGACCCTTCCGCGAGGATCCCTTCTGTGCGCGTCATCCCCCTGCCGGGGTGTCTTTAGCGTACGTTGTCCCAGAGGTGGGGGTAGCGTACGCTGTCCCAGTGTACGCTGTCCCAGTGCACGCTGTATCCTCAGTGTACGCTGTCCCAGTGTACGCAATCTTCCCAGCACCAACCGTAAGTTCGAAGGCGTCGGACGCCTTGGCCTGCGGAGTTGGCGCGGGCGCGGCGTTACGGCGCTCCTCGAAGCAGAAGAGCGACCGCTGCAGAGACCCCGCCTGCGGCGGACCGCGGCACGGCGGCGGGCGGCCAGGCGGGCGCTGTCGGCGATGGTCTCTCATCACGGACGGAGAACGATACTGCAATTTTATGCCGTGACGACTGTCCTCCCTCCTCCCACCTCCCACCCCTCCCTCCATCCCATCCTGCCCTCCCCTCCTTTCCCGCCCCCCTCCCCCCTCCCCTCCTCCTCCTCATCATCCTCCTCATCCTCCTCCTCATCCTCGTCCTCCTTCTCCTCCTTCCTTCCTCCCTCCTCCTCCTCCTCATACCATCATCCTCATCCTCATCCTCATCCTCATCCTCATCCTCATCCTCATCCTCATCCTCATCCTCATCCTCATCATCATCATCATCATCATCATCATCATCATCATCATCATCATCATCATCATCACATCACCATCACCATTTGGAATATCTGGAACATCTGGAAAACATTGCCTTTTGCAGCGGCAAGTGTATCGAGAATGGGAAATCGGCAGGAATAGAGAAAGAGAGAGGAAGAGAGTGGGAATCACGACGTCTCCTGATGGGCATGTCCTCCACCACAAAAGCCACCAGTTGGAGAGGGGGAGGGGCTCCTCCTCCTCCTCCTCCTCCTCCTCCCCTCCTCCTCCTCCTCCTCCCCTCCCTCCTCCTCCTCCTCCTCCCTCCTCCTCCTCCTCCTCCTCCTCCTCCTCCTCCTCCTCCTCCTCCCCCTCCTCCTCCTCCTCCTCCTCCTCCTCCTCCTCCTCCTCCTCCTCCTCCTCCTCCTCCTCCTCCTCCTCCTCCTCCTCCTCTTGCCCCCACAACATTATGGTAGTGGTGGCGGAAAACAAGCCCACCGTCTCCTGTCTTGGTGCGGTCCAGGGCTTCCTTGAGCGTGGGGGGGCGCCCTTGGGGCTCAGCACACGCGAAGTGCAGCTCCAGCCGAGCAGACCACCCCTGGTCGATCTGCGCCACGCCACCCGTGATCGGGATCATGGCGCGGAGCAGGCTTGACTGGGACCGAGCTTAAAGCAGAAGTCCTTGAGCCAGCGTACCTACGGACATGTTGTATGTTCTCTCCGTCTGTCCTCGAGAGAAGCTGTTCGACCTACAACCTTCGAACGCCCCGCAAGGACCACAGTAAACAAAGTAACATACAAATAATTGAAACCGCCGTCGGCAGAGAGACAACGACAAGAGAAAACCATGAAGAGGACAACAGGGAACGAGCATGGAGGGAGAAGGAGGGGAGAGGATGGGGAGGGAGATAAGGAGGAGGAGGAGGAGGAGGAAGAGGAGGGAGAGGAGGACGGGGACGAGGAGGACAGGGATGAGAACGAGGAGGAGGAGGAAGACCAGAAGGAGATGAGTAAGGGAAAAAGAGAAAACCAAGATGACGGGAGATGGGGAGGGGAAAGAGGAAGATGAGGAGGCTGCTCGACCGTTAACCTTCGAACGCCCCGCAAGGACCAAAATACACAAAGTAAAACAAGTAAAAAGTGAAGCCGCCGTCGTCAGAGAAACAACGACAAGAAAACGACACGAAGAGGGCAAGAGGGAACGGGCATGGAGGGAGGGGGAGGGGAGGGGATGGGGAGAGGGGAAGGAGGAGGAAGAGGAGGAGGAAGAGAAGGAGGAGGACGGGGACGAGGAGGACGAGGAGGACAGGGATGAGAACGAGGAGGAAGACTAGAAGGAGATGAATAGGGGAAAAGAAGAAGAGAGGATGAGGGGAGATGATAGGAAGGGAGAGGAGGAGGATGAGGAAGCGGAGGACGACGAGGACGAGGACGAGGATTGGGAGAAGGATGACTAGGATGAGGAGAGAGAAGGCGACATGTATGATCACAGGGGGGCGAGCTAATCTATGTATATATACATATATATGTGTGTATATATAGATATGTTGGCCACTGGTGTGCCAATTATGAATATATATATATATACATACATTTACATTTACATTTACATATAAATATATGCATATGTGTGGACCCATATCCATATCCGTATCCATATCCACGCCCATAGCCGCATCCACATCCACCGCCTGCCGAGGTCCCCTGAAAATCGATCCTCCAGGCTGTGGTGGTGCACACGTGCCCTGGGCCCTTCTGCTGCTCCTCCCGGGGCCCCTCCTGCTGCTCCAAGCCGAGCCGGGCGGTGGGCCGTGGCCGTGGGCTGCGAACCCCAGGAGCCCGGGGGGACCGCGCACGGCGGCGGCCTCCAGGTAGAGTTCGGCGAGCTCGTGCCAGGCCTCGGGCGGGCGGGCGGCGATGGCCACGATGATGATGCTGGCAGGTCCACGTCAGAGTGCTCCTCCGCCTCCTCCTCCGCCTCCTCCTCCGCCGCCTCCTCCTCCTCCGGCCCGAGGCACGAGTAACTTTTGTTGCGCGGCTGAAGGTTAGGTCGGGCATGTCCCCCTACAGGCGACGTTGGACGACAAATTACAAATACTCAAAAAATAGGGACATGCCCAACTTAAGCTTACGGAGGGGGGCGAGGGGGCCATCACCAAGCGCGCAAGCCGCCGCTATATCTTCGAGCTCAGCAATCGGGGGACCCCATGGGGCCCGCACCAAAGGTCACTTCGGCTCAAGGTCACTTTCACGTCTAGTCGGCCCTCCCCAACCTCCTTTCTTTGGAGCATAGTTGATCCGACCACTACGCAGTCTTGAGCAGACGCGCGTGAGACAACTGCAGTTGGATCCCGTGAAATGCTTGCGGATCCAATTGTGGTTTTGGGGTCTGCTTCGGTGGATCCGATTTACGTCCGCGCGGATCCGATTTCGGATTTGCTGGATCCGTTTTCGGTCTTACTTGTTACAGCGGACTCGATTTTACCCCGGTAAAAACTGTTATTAATTTATTTCAGAGAGCCGAAAGAAATCGGATCCACGGACCCCAGAGGCCGCCCGTGTTAAGATTCCACAAAAAAAAGGGTGCGGTCATAAACTTCCAACTCGTGATCGCCATTTGAAACTCAAGAGACAATCTCTCGTCCTGCGTAAGTGAGTTTCGGCCCTGTGCCTCCTGACCCACCAGGACTGCGTGTGAGATCGGCGATGTGGTAACAAGCAAGTCCGAAGGCCAAAACGCCCATGCGTTTCGGCCCTGCGTCTCCTGACCCAACAGACTGCCTGTGAGATGTGGTGTGTTGGCTATGTGGTACAACTCCAGAGGCCAAAACGCCAGTGCGTTTCGGCTTGTCGGCTATGTGGTAACAAGCAAATCCGAAGGCCAAAACGCCCATGCGTTTCGGCCCTGCGTCTCCTGACCCAACAGACTGCCTGTACGATGTGGTGTGTCGGCTATGTGGTAATCAGCATGTCCAGATGCCAAAACGCCCATCCCCAGGACAACAGTTCTTTTCTCTTGGGCCCGGGACGACGGCTTGAAGTTTTGAGCAGACGCGTGTGAGATAAACGCCGTCGGATCCTTTGAAGTTTGCGCGGATCCAATTGTGGTTTTGGGGTCTGCTTCGGTGGATCAGATTTCTGTCCGCGCGGATCCGATTTCGGATTTGCTGGATCCGTGTTCGGTTTTTGTTTTACAGCGGATTCGATTTTACCCCGTTAGGAATTGTTATGAATACGGTGAACCAGAAGAAATCGGATCCACGGACCCCAGAGGTCGCCCGTGTTAAGATTCTGCGGGGGAAGGTGGTGCGGTCATGAACTTCCAACTCATCATCGCCATTTGCACCTCAAGAGGCAAATCTTTCGTCCTGCGCAAGTATCCCCATGGGCGTGGCCTGGGCCCCACTGGCCGATCTATCCGCCTAGACCTAGATGGGAATGTGTGCATATGCCTTCGGGTTTCGAGGGGTATATCCCCGACTGAGGTGCTGAGATGGTAGGGGTCTGGATGGGGATGGGCATGGGGAATCGGTTAAACGATACTGATAATGTTCATTATCCACCCTGGCCATGACGGTGTTGGCAGGTTGTTGCTTTGTGTGTGCCTGTTGTCCGTACTCTTTGTTCGCTGCGTATGAATATGTTGTCGTTCCCGCCCTCCCCCACCCCCCTCTTCTTCCTCCTCCCCCTTCCTGCTACCGCTCCTCCATTCCGCACTCCTCATCCTCCCTCCCACCCCTACTCCTACACCACCGCCGCCGCTCCGTTCCATCCTCCTCCTCCTCCTCCTCCTCCTCCTCCTTCCAAGCCCTACTCCTACACCGCCGCCGCCACGCCGCCGCTTCTTCCTCCTCCCCCTCCCCCTCCTCCTCCACCTCCTTTTTCCTCCTCCTCCTCCTCCTCCTCCTCCCCCTCCTCCCCTCCTCCTCCTCCTCCTCCTCCTCCTCCTCCTCCTCCTCCTCCTCCTCCTCCTCCTCCTCCTCCTCCTCCTCCTCATCATCATCATCATCATCATCATCATCATCCCCCTCTTCCTCCTCCTCCTCCTCCCCCTCCTCCTCCTATTTCTCCTCTTTTTCCCCTCCTCGAACCTTCCGCCTCCCACCATCCACCCCCCCCACTTCACCCCCTCCAACCTCCACGGGCGGTGCGGTCTGCGCTCAGAGCCTTCGAGCGCGGGGGGCACACACGGTCTGCCCCCTCGCTCGCCCACCCCTGGCCCGCGGTGCCTTTTTCTCGCAGCAGCAGATGGCAGCAAACCTCTCACGGCAGTCTCTCGGGTCGGGGGCGTCCAAGGAGGGGGTTCGCAGATCATGGCCCGAGGCACTTGCGCGTGCCAGGGGGCACGGAAGGACGCATTGAAATAAGAAGGGGGCCATGCAATCAGGGCAGAGATCGTGGCCCCGGCCATGAGATCCACCGCCCCAGTCACCACCCCCCTTCCGGTCGGTCGGATAAAGTAGGTACAGACATGAAGTAAAAAGGCGCGCAGAGTAGGTTGGTCTCAGGCCCTCCCAGAGTCACACAAATCACAGCAAAAGCTCATCGGTTCGTGAAGCAGGAAATTGAGACCTGAGCATCCAAAAATCAATACTTCCAACGGTCGGCGTGCATTGGCCGCCCTCCATCGGCGGCCCCGAGGAACATGGGAGCAACCCGGACCGCCGGGTGCGCCGCCGCGTGGGGTGGCGCTGGATTGCGCGAGCGCCGCGCGAGGACGGAGACCCGTGTGGTTTCGTCACCGGCAACAGCAGGCGTCGCCGCAGTACTGCCTCGGGCCAGGCGTTAGGTCGGACATCGAAGAGTTTAAATGCTCGAAACATACCCCAAACGTGCTCAAAACAAATATTCGAAAAACCGTCGCCAAACTATTTCTTTACTATTTTTTCACTACTCCTCCTGTAGAGAGATACGCCCGACTTAAGCTTAGGTCGGGCATGTCCCCCAACAGGCGGCTCTTGGACGAAAAATGACAGACTCTAAAAAACAACACTCAAAAATCATCCCCAGACGATGTTTTGACTATTTTTGAATTTCCCCCTGTAGAGGGACGCGCCCGACTTCAGCCAGGCGGCGGCGCGGCAGGGCTGCCGTGCTGGCTGGCGCAGGCCGCTCCGAGGCGCGCGGCCTCTGCTCGGCAGGGCGCGCGCGCGGGAGCGGGGCGCGCGGCCCCGGGCGGCGGTGCCAGCGGGCCCCCGCGCGCCCCTGCGCACCAGGGCGCGCGGCGGCTGAGTGCCCAAACACCAGACCACCCCAACCTGACCCGAAGACCAGGCTTTCGGGGGGGGGGGGGCACGAGCTTCACGTTTGTTGTTCCATGTTCCCCGCCCCCCCGCACACTGGAAATGGAGGGCAAGCCCTCTGGTGAAACGCCAGGCCCTACCGACGCGCCTCGGGCGCGACAGGGAGGAGCTATCTGGAGGGAGGAAACATTGAGGCGAAGGTGGCGCACAGAAGAAGGGCGCCCAGGGGAGCGCAGGGAATGGGCACTGCAGGGCCCTGCCACGACGGCGAGGGCCTTCGGGTTGGGTTGGGGTGGTCTGGTGGGCAATGAGCGGCGCTCGCTGCCCACGCGCTCGTGCGCGGACCTCGCTTGTCTCTTCTGCGCAGGCCGCTAGGCGATCGCACCTGTGGCGCCAGAGGGCCTGCCGACGGCAGGCAGGCAAGAGCAGACGCCTCGAGCACGGTCGAACGCGGGCGAAACAGGCAGGCAACCAGGGGGCCAGTACGAGCGCCCGCGATCTAGAAAGTCGCAAGGAATCGCAGGCTAACTACATTCAGCTCGATTGGCACGATGTCGACCCAGCTCGAACCCCCCTCCACCTGCCTGCGCCTCCACCGCCCACCGCTCCTCCAGAAGCTGGCCGAGCCTAAGCGGCCGCTGGCCCAAGACGACGCGCATCTCCTCCGAAACCCCTTTCAAAGTCCACCGAACCCTCCTCCAACTCCACCTCCATCATCATAGATGCACAATCGGAAGACCAGCCGCGGGCGCGAAGCTGCCGTGAGCTAGCGGCGCCCAGCCCATGCCACAGGCGACCTCTCCCACGCTTGAAGAGGAGGTCGGCGCGGGGGCCCAAGCACAGCACGGGAGAGAGACGCCAATGTCGACTATGAGAGGCTGGGATTCCCAACGACGTCGGCCACGATCACCGCCAGGCGCTCATTTTCGCCGCGTTCGCCCACTGCATCGAGGAAAAGCCTTCCACGCACTCGCCCGCTCATTGAGCGAAAGGTAGCTGAGAGCTGGCCGAGTACAGATACAGTCCAGATCCCGCCCCCCCCCCCCCCCCCCCGTCGCCCCTCAACCACCTCTCATCCACGCCGCCGAACAGCGGCTGTAAACGTTCAAAATCGCGGCCGCCAGAAGAGAGCCCGAAACTGGCAGCGACACGACAGGAAGCTCGCACTAAAACGCAACGAAGGGTTCAAACAGAGCCTTCGACGTCTTCGCCCGCTTCATCAGGCAAGAGGTGTTCGGAGCTGGCGGAAGAACGATGGCCTCCACGACCCGTCGCGAATCCTCCTCCACCACTCCTCCACCTTCTCCCCCATATCGCTGCAAGGTGGCTAGAAACGGCCGAAGGCCTTGCAACCAAGAAAGTTCGCCCGCTGCGTCGGGCGGCGAGGCGGGCAGGAACGCGCAAACGCGACGGTGAGCTCGCACAAGCACGTCGCGGAGTGTTGAAACAAAGCCTTCTCCTACTCTACCTCGCCTCCTCCTTCTCCTCCACGTCGCCGCGCAATGGCTAGAAAGGACCGAAAACGCGGCGGTCGAGCTTCGCGGCGCACGCCGGACAGCGCAGTTCGCGTCGCCACGCTCCCCCCCATCCTCTTCCTCACTTCCGCCTCCACCTCGCCCTCGTCCTCGCAGCCAAAAGCGCGGCAGTGCTAGATGACGGGCAACATCGACGACCCGCACGAACAAAAAAAACTGCATAGAGATACAAGCAGCCAGTCGGGGCCAAGAGCACCAGGGAGCTCAGCACGGCCCCAGCGGACTGCGATCTGAGAGGAGGAACCTAGCTGGTCATAACACCACTCAGGCGGGCCACATCCACGTGTGCGAAGGAGCCATTACTGTGTGATACAAGGCATCGAACTCGGACTCGCACGAGCAGCATTCCAAGAGCCTCTCTAAAGTACACTCGCGCGTCTCCTCGGTGACCTCCGAGATGACTATGTCGAAAACGTACGCCGTGGCCGGGGCGTTGCTGTAGTCGCACCGACGGGCCGCCTCGAAAAATCTGCGACGCACGCGAAGCGCAAACTTAGAACGGTCAACGTAGGCGAAGTCAAACGGAGTGGCCTGGGCGGGCACCATCCCGCCGAGCGCAGAGGCGAAACCAAGCCTCAGGAAGGGGATCAGCAGCAGCATGATCGGGCACAGCATGATCGGGCACAGCACGAAAGGCTTCGGCATTGCATTCGGGTCCAGGCTGAACCACTGCAGGAACC